GACCTTCGCATGTTGGATGACACCATTTTGCACATATTTCACACTCTATACCCTCGCTTTCATCATCGACTTTGTCCCCACATGCACAAGGGTCTCCGACGGTTTGTTCCTGTGTCACGCCCCTGTCCATGTCTCTGGTATCATTTTTCCCATCTCTTACCTTTCTTTTTGCAGTTTTCTGTTTTTGCTTGCAATCAGGTACCGTCGCCTTACCGTTCCTCGCACTCAAGCTCGCACTCTCATCTTCTAGTTCCGCGTCGTTTTCGCCGGTAGCACTTCCCGCGCTTTCTTTCTCTCCTTTCTTCTTGCCCGCCATGAGTTGCCACTACCAATTTATTTTTGGTTCCGCACGTGCAATTTAGTCGAGTAATATTGAACTTCTTTGTATCAGAAACCTATTCTTGTTGTACAGATCGGTTCACTGCTTCCGTGTCAATAAACGGAAGGGTTATTGCTGCGGGAGGATAGGCGAGGACAACCGTTCAGGACGAAGGCTCGGGACGGAGTGTTTGAACTTGACTTTGATTATGTGACCTACAACGTGAGGCAGCATATCCCGAACCCATTGATGTGTCTACAGTGTGGGAGATTTGGCCACATTCAGGCCAGATGTCAATCAGAGGTGAAATGCCTCACATGCGGGGACAAAAAACATGACGGCACATGTGAGCAGAAATGTCTCCACTGCGGGGATACTGGGCATGATGGGCTCTCTCGGCAATGTGAAGTGTGGAAAAAGGAGAAGCGTGTATGTGAAATCAAGGTTAAAAAAGATGTGTCCTATGCACACGCCCGCCGTATCATCGCGGCTGAAACCAGCTCCCCTACCTTACGATCCTATGCTTCGGTAGTAAGGGGTAGTAGTGATCCGCCATCCGACCCAACATTTAAGACTGAACTCCGTGTGATTGGGGAGAAACTCGACAAAATGATCACTCTTCTGGACAGGGTCCTTAAGCTTCAAGGGACTGAGGCTGAGGCAAATCAAACACCAACAAAAGTGCAAACGGGGACAGGAGAGCAGGAAGGTGCTGAGGACACTCAGACCCAGTCACAGCCTGACATGTTCATGGACCCCATGGAATCCCAATTGGTGGCAGAGGGCTCACAGGAGCCCTCACCACCCTCAGACACTGAGAGGAGCACTCCACCAACAAACAAAGACACTCTGGCTGGTTCCTCTCAGCGAGTGATCCGACAGAGCTGGACACCGCAGGTGATGCAGAACACAGATGAGGTCGAGGAGAGGAGTGAAAGAACCCAAAAAGCCCATCCTGACTCTGAGCAGTCATCAATGACAGAGACATCAGATATCCCTGCTGATGGGGTATCGCCATCCCCTGAGCTTGGCAAAAAACGTCAAGGAGGGAGACCTGGAAGGGACAGGCGAATGCCCAGCCTGACCAGGAAACCCAAACCCTAACGTAACTTTTAGCACTAAAACACAAAACTCTTTTTTTTTTCTTCTTTTTTTTAAACGTAGAATCAAGACGTCTTTATTTCTACTTGTATTTCGGTTTTTTAACTTACATGTGCTGATCAAACAACCACACAAGCTGAGGTGGTTGATGATCAGCTATCTTGTTTCCTATGGAAAATGGTACAATATCAGCATCATGACTGATACGAACCAGATAGTAGCAGCCAGCCCAATTATTCCCAAGGAGTGGGAACTTATGAGTGGTGAATTGTGTTCTGGCTCGACTAAGAAACTCTGACAAGGGTCCTACAATGGAATGCCAGAGGACTGATCGGAAAGTGGGCAGAAGCCAAACAAATGTTCTTGGACGGTAATTACCAGGTGATCTGTATTCAGGAATCTCACTTTATGGCCAATGACAGATATTGTTTTGACTTACCACACTATTCTTTATACAACGCATACTCACCTCAAGGTGACAGGAGAGGAGGTGTATCGATATATGTATCAAATCGCCTGCCGCACATGGTATTACCTATACAGAGCAATTTACAGGTGGTAGCCTGCTCCGTAAGGCTACAGAGGGAAAGAATTACATTCTGTTCATTGTACTTGCCCCCAACTGACAACTTCTCATTTCAGGATATATCCCTATTAATCCAGCAACTCCCTAAACCATTTGTAATATGTACAGATGCAAACAGCAAACATTTCATGTGGGGAGCTGCGCAATGTGACAGACGGGGTTGCATCTGGATGGATGTTGTCAACCATCATAACCTACATGTTTTGAATGATGGACAGCCAACTAGACTGGATGAATCCACAGGAGATACGTCCCATATCGATCTGACAGTGGTGTCAAACGATATCTCTCACATACTTGAATGGGACACTGAAAAAGACCTATATGCCAGTGACCACTACCCCATACGTATAGATGTCGGTAATCCTACTGCCTACACGAACTTGCCCCCTGTTTTCTATGGATGGAACACGAGGAAAGCTAACTGGACGGAATTTGAAATGAAATGTGATTTCAAATTCAATCCTAACCTTGGACTGGAGAACTGTGATGAAATAACTCAAACTATTATTGACACTGCCCAGAAGTTTATACCCACCCGAAATGGTAACACCAAATACTCGTGTCCGTGGTGGACGGATGACTGCAGGAACGCAATTCTGACTAGAAGGAGAGCTCATAACAGAATGAGGAGAGACCCTCATTCCCAATTCCTACGAATTGAGTATAGGAAAGCGAAGGCTAAGACACGACGGACTATTAGAGATGCACAGATCCGCTCATGGCAGGAGCTGCTATCAGTGTTTAACCACAGAACCCCGATGGGGAAACTGTGGGATATAATCCGTAAGTTCTCGCAGAAGCATCGATACATGAGACCTCTCCCAGTTATTATGCATAATAACGAGATTATTGACGACCCTACTGAGGTGGCAAATCACTTCGGGAGGTATTTCTCGAATATGAGCTCGAGATCGAACTACCCCCAAGCCTTTCTTGACTGGAAACGTGAATTAGCAGAAAACTTACCTGAATTTGGGGATGAGAACTACGAGGATTACAACAAAGAATTTACAATGAGAGAACTTACTGACGCTATTAAACGATCTGGCTCTACATCCATCGGGCCGGACAAGGTTCACTATGATTTCTTCCGACATATGCATGAGACACAGCTGATTGAACTGCTTCGTTTTTATAATTATGTATGGGTGAATGACGTGTTCCCCGACGCATGGAGACATTCTTACATCATACCCATCCTTAAGCCAGGGAAAGACCGCAACCAAATGCAATCGTACAGGCCTATCCAACTTACCTCTTGTATGTGCAAATTACTAGAGAGGATGATTGGTAAGAGACTGTCATGGTACCTTGAGAAATATGACCTTATATCGACATATCAATGTGCGTTCCGATCAGGAAAGTCTACTGGGGACCACCTAGTGAGACTTGATTCGCACATACGGGAAGGATTCCTTCACCACTGTTCCACCCTCGGTGTGTTCCTAGACATTAAGTCAGCATATAACATGGTCTCCCCAACGGTTTTGTTGAATAGAATGTATGATATCGGCTTCCGGGGCCATATCATGCATTTCATTCGAGGCTACTTGCAAAATAGGACATTCCAAGTGAGGTGCGGAGAGGTATCAGATACGTTTGAGCAGGAATATGGCGTTGTCCAAGGAGGGGTGATCTCTCCATTGCTTTTTAATATTGTGATTGACTCTTTGATTGACGCAATACCAAGAGAGGTCTCTGCTGCTATATACGCAGACGATTGCACTATCTGGGCGCAGGGAAAAGATATCCCACTTATATTTCAGAAAATCCAAAACGCTTTAACTAGAATAGGACAGTGGTCAGAGCGGAACGGTTTTGTATTTTCCCCCATGAAGACTAACGCCGTTTTGTTTAGAAGAGGTTTAAAACGAGTGAACCAGAACCAACTACCTACTCTCAAACTCAACGGTCACCCTATTTGTATTGTGGACCAGGTCCGTTATCTAGGCGTCTTACTTGATTCGAAACTGAGCTTAAATGGGCACATAGAATATGTTAAAGGAAGAGCTCAGAAACGAATGTCGATACTGAAAAGCATTGCCGGAAAAAGCTACGGTGCCGACAGAACTGTGTTATTACGCATGTATAAATCCCTGATCCGACCAATACTCGACTATTCATCTTTTATTTTGGATGGGCCAGGGACTCGGCTTGTGGAGTCCCTTGAGACTATTCAGAACACGGCACTCCGCATTGCCACTGGTGCCTTGCGGACTTCCCCTGTAAGAGCATTACAAGTGGACACGAACGTGGAACCCCTCAGCATTAGACGCCGAGACTTACTAGCCCGGTACTACCTGAAAGTAAAAAGTGATCACAACCACCCCTGCTACCACATAATGGATTTAGACGCTTATGAACTATATGAAGATCTCTCCGACCGCTACTTGCGGAGGATATCGGGTCTCCCAGTATCACTACGACTGCGAAAGCTTTTTACCGAAATAGACTATAATCCTCCCGACATATTGTCTAAGGAAAATGGTATTACAGCACCATGGGTGTTGCACACCGTCCCCACACAGATGCTCATCTCTCAAGACAAAAGACATATGACTGAGACAGATATATTGACTGCTTTTCACGACCTGATGGACAAATACCAGGACCATAGGAAAATGTACACTGACGGATCCAAGCGGAACAACTCAGTAGCATGTGCTTTCACAGTGAACAGTGCCTTTTTCTCACATAAGCTGCGTGATGGGTTATCTGTGTATACCGCTGAACCGTGGGCTGTTCACGGGCCCTGTGTGCGGTCGGACCGCACACAGCCTCCAAGCTCCGCCCACTGCGTCCCTACGTCAGCCTTCCGTCACCGCACACAGCGATCGCTGTGGCCGGTCGGGACTGGCCACAGCGGACCGTCCACCGCACGCAGCCGTGACGTCAGAACCGCCTACCCATCCCCTACCCCCACGCCTGCTGGACGCACCGCACACAGCGCACGCAGCAGTGTGCGGTGCCCGTGAACACCCCTCTGGTAGCTGTAAGAGAAGCGATGAAGTTTGTGCGACGTAACCAAGTACCCAAAGCGCTCATATGCTGTGACTCCCAAGCGGTTATCAAGGCTCTCACAGTGCAGAGCCGTGATCATCCGGTCTTGGTGGAGATCCTAGAGATAAATCATAAAAATGTACGAGATGGGATCGATTGCATCGTTGTCTGGGTTCCAGGACATAGTGGCATAGCTGGTAATGTCAGAGCTGACTACTGGGCGGGAAAGGCTCATGATAAACCTAATGTGACTGATGTAAAAATAGGACATCGGGAATTTGTGCCACTGGTGAAGAGTCGCGTCCGTGTGTTATTTGAAAATCTGTGGTTAGATTATCGTCCAACTCTACTGAAGCAGATTAAAACAGATATAGGACATTGGAATTCTAGTGTACGTGCCAGTCGAAAGGAGGAAGTGGTTTTGTGTAGGATGAGACTCGGACACACTATTTTAACTCACTCGCATGTTATCGACCAACTACCGCCTATTGTCTGTGAACTGTGTCAATGTCGCCAAGATGTTCAACACATACTGTTAGAATGCCGAAAGTACACTGTAGCGAGGAGGAGACTCGCAGCGGCGTGTCGAGATGTCGGCGTCCGCATGTCGCTGGGGATTCTCCTGGGAAACGGTGAACCCACGGTGGTGGATGCAGTGTTCGATTATCTTCGACAGTGCAACTTATACGACAAACTCTGAACAAAGGACGTAGAGGCGTTATGGGTGCTAAGTGATGATAATGAAATGTATTTTGTTTCCATATGTGCTATGGCTTCAGATAAGCTCGACACAATCCTTCATGTTATGTTGAATCCAAGAACCATGGATTAGGTATTTCTAGGTTAAAAGAGTGGATTACTACTCGAGCTCATGCATTCATGGTTAAGCAATACTTCCTCCATGGTCACGTTGTAAGAACACCTGTCTGAAATGTCTGAAATTGGTTGGGTATGTTATGTGTTTCTATGTCACCCCCATACTGTGAAGTGAAATCCCTAAGTATCGTGTAACCCCCATGTCAAGACCCAAGTTTTGTGTCTTTTTTTCTTTTTTCTTTCTAGATAGAACCATGCCTTCTCCCAGAGCGCCTTTTGCCCCCTTGAAGAATGAGCTGTATTGCTCTTCCTGCTTACCGAGCTGTTTGGCTATCCCCAAGTAGCTAAGACTGTAAGTAGCATTGTAGTATTCACAACTAACATTAACTTCTCTGTTCTCTCCTCGCCCAGGACATATCCTACCAAGGCTATCTCCTAACCATCGCAATTTTTCCTCTCCCCAGTCATTCCTCATCCCTACCCGGAAACCTGCTTAGTTCCGCTTAGTACCACAACCATACGCCTACTGCAACTCTGAAGACTACAAGAGGACATACCAACTTGGAAGTTGGACGCTTGAGCCAAGCTGCTGCGCGCCCTAACTCTTCAACAACAACAACAACAACTTGTGTAAACTGTGTGTGGTTCAATCCACAACCCATTTTTACAGCTAAAAAATCAAGGCCAACTTTTGATTAAACGGTCAGCGACTTCATTCAAACTCGGTGTACGATTAGGATACTAATACTACAAAGTGAATTGATGGTAGTGTGCTAACTGCTTCATGGTGTGTGTGGCTATTCACGTGTGCATAGGTATGCACATCCCATTGTTACATCTCAAATGAGCACCCTGATTGCAATGAAATTCGATTTCTGATTCTGGAATTACAAAGAGTATGGATGGTGAGCTTCAGATTTCACATGTGCACGTGCCTGCACTCGGCTTGCCCCTGCCTTGCTGAGGTGCGAGAGCAGAGTGTGCACATCTGCATGTGAGCATGTGCAGGGCTACAATTTTCTCAGTTCATAGATCACCCTTTAGTAGGTTTTGGGAGCGCACTTTACAGCGATCATCCAACTCGGTCCTTTATCCCAAGATGCAACCTTGAGCCTTACTCCAAAAAGTGGCCTATTTTTCGAATCAAATCCAAGTTTCCAATGCATGTAGTTCATGTTATCTATATAGGTACCTACCTATATATTTATCTTACTGATGCCCATCAGTCATCAGTGGCATCAGTTGTGTTCCAGTGTGTGATCATGATGAGTCTGTGGGGTGGGATTGTTCATGTTTTTGAGTGAATCTTAACTTTATTAACCTTTTATTTTGTTTTACTTTGGGCCCTAGAGAAGACATATCAGTCTTGATCTAGGTATCAAATAACTATCAGCAAGGCGGCCTTGTGATTGGCATATTGACATATGTACCTATTGTGGTTCACAGGACCAAGATCACCAACTTCAGCCTTGCAATGCCTGTTCAGGCTGTGTTCATTGTGGCCATTGGTGGTTTTTTTTTTGTTGATTTTGAGTTGTGTTAGGTATACATTTCGATTAAAAGATGTATGGTAATCAAGAGAAGGAATTGCTGTGGATTCGACATGCTGACTCTTCAGGGGCTGGTTGTGATCCAGGTAAGCTCTTACCTACATTCCTGCCCAATCGGTCAACTCAGAACTGATTGTAGAACAGATCTGTATGGAAGAAATTTTTATGGGTTTTCAGCATAAATTTTGATTGATATAGGTAGGCATAACAAATCTTATCAAAGCTTGTCAAGGCTGGTGAATGGTGATCTTTAACCAAGCCAAGCCAGTTGTTGATCAGCCTGAACCTGAAATGATAAATGTTAAGTTCTTGTGGAAGCTATTCAACAATTTGTTTAAAATTTAGTGGACAGACCTTGTCTGGATGAGAATAAGTAGTGATGAATTGAAAGTTGATGTACTTACTCCAGTACCTACTTATCCTGATGAGGAATCTTATCTAGTTTCTTTATATTATCTACTTGATTAATGATTTAGCACTGCCAAGTTTTCAGCAGATTGGGTATCTCACTTTGATGTGCCTGTGTCTTTTTTCCAGGATCCAGTGCATTTAATCAAGTCCTGAATGGCAACTTCATTGAAGCACTGAAGTCTGGGGACATCTGGAGGGTGCTGAGTCTGGATTCAGAAGAGCTGTGGACCTCCTGGGATTTAGAGGCTATTGCTGCTCATATATCAGCTTCGCTTGATGGCAACAGCAACAATGCCAGGTAAGTTGCATTGGAACCTCCCCCTAGCTGTTTGCTGTTTTGCCCCTAATTGAGCTAGTAACTCGCGGGAAAAAATGAGCACGTGCGCCGATATGAGACGCAGCGAATGGTACCCGATTTTGATATTTCAGGTCAACCAGTGACCGCTGAGGTCAGTTCAAGTGTTCTAAGGTAGGGTTTTTTTTTTTGCTGAGTAAGTTCTTCCGAAAAGATCGCCGAGCCGCGATTTTTGTACCACCGTGTTCGTTATGCTCAGGCGTGTCGAATGACTTGTATTTTTTATTTGGATGAGGTCATCTATGGGTGTTGACATCAGGTCAAGATCAGGTCAGAGCTCCTAGTTAGGTCACGAATTTGGTCGAGGGTTGTGATATTGGATATCATTCGATTCGACAGGTCTCCTGAAGTACAGTCTATTGACAGTAGCGCGCATCGGTGCGTCGGATCCATCAAGCTCAACCGAAGGAAGGCTGCTAAAATTGAGAGACTGTATCATTTGACTCCCAAGTGAGTCCCCTGCAGGTCATTTGGTTCAGTGCTCTCAATTTTAGCAGCCTACCTTCGGTTGGGCTTGATGGATCCGACACACTGATGCTCACTACTTTCAAGAGAGACTGTACATCGGTAGCTTTTCCGACTCGCTAGCTCAATTCAATCGGAAGTTATTGACAAAAACTCCGATGACCTTTGTGACGTCATAAATAACGTCGCGGAGTAGGAGTCGATTTTGGAAACCGGAGTCGGAGTCAGAGTCGCCGAAAATCCATTGACGTTTTATGGGCGCCAATGACCACTGTAGTCCGGGCGCCCAAAAACCCCAATTCATCATCATCATCATCTGCAGCCCAGGGAATGATGACACCAATCACAATATGTTCTCCAGTTTGCTTTGCAATATTTTATCGACGTTGCCCTTCTCACTCACAAGTCACAATCGTGTTTTTTTCAGTGACAGTCTGCTGCTATCCGGCGTGGCTGCCTTGTGTCTGTTTGCCCAGGCCAACTGGACCGGACCCCCTTTGGAGGAGGAAGGTGTGTCTGTCCTCGGGAGCGCCAAGGATGAGCACAGAACAAGGTAGGTGCCGTGGCTGAAAGTCTTAGAGTTGCAGCACGAGCCCTACAGCTGTTTTTCTGCCTGGATTTCTTAGCACACGTCTAGCTGAAACTTTCGGTACATTTTTTTATTGAATTTATTTGATTATTTGAACACGAAGCTGAGTATGCGCAAAGCGAATTAACGTTCATTGTGCTCGAATAGGCTAATTACGTACGCCGTTTTACTGATCGTGACATACCCCGTCCCAAATGACGTCTCTCCCACCCTCTCTCTCTCTCTCTCTCTCTCTCTCTCTCTCTCTCTCTCTCTCTCTCTCTCTCTCTCTCTCTCTCTCTCTCTCTCTCTCTCTCTCTCTCTCTCTCTCTCCACCATTAGATGTATGGCCCATTTAGCCGTGGATGCTTGTGACATCCATCAGATGACTCGGTGGCCGCAAGCTCTGGCCATTGCCAGGGTCGTGTTCGAAGGCTGTCAGCATCTTCTCAGCTCCTTGCCGGTACGTACTCGGCGATATAATGTTATTCTAATGGACGCAGCTGAATCAACATTTAGTTTTGATATTTGAACATCGATATTTTGAGACTGGTCAATTTGTATCGAACGGAATGATTGAATTCGCGACTTATTTGAAGCATTTTCTTTCCTTACTGGAGGGCAGAGATTGACCACCGTCTTATTTGGAGATTTAACGCTACGCTTTGATGCTAAATGTCTGATTGTGTCTGATTGTGCTTGTGTCTGATGACTGATGAGTGTATGTACCTGAATGCTGAAGAGCCTCTGTCGCGATGCGTGTTAACCTTGGCGTTGACGAAGTCCTTGTGCCTGCAGTCGTTCCAGCTGTGGCGGGTCCGGTACTGCTTGCTCTACCAGCAGGTCCTGGAGGAGACTTCGCCGCATCTGTTCAACCTGTTCCTGAAGGATATCGAACTGTCTTCAGAAACACAGGCTCTGCTAAAAACATCCACTCAGGTAACTTGGCACTGCCGACACTTATTTGTGGTTTCATTCAAATTCACGAGTACTGCTTTTGGTTTTGGTTTATCCAGTTAAACAAGAGGGTAAATAAATACCTGTTATCATTTATCCCAATCATCTATAAATGACAACAGATTGACTTTTTGTTGAATATTTCAGTTGACGGTGGAGCACTACCTCACGGTAGCGAACATGTACAACTACTACCACTACGTCACAGAGGCCGACAAGTACATCACCAAGGCACAGCACGCGCTCAACATCAAGCTGGAGATGGTCGGTAAGTGACAACACGTTTCAGAGGCTTCTGAAAAAATCTTTGAACGTGAATTAAATTAGTGGGTTTGTCTGTTACGAAAGCTCTTCTAGGGACTGGTTAAATCCTGGGTTAAATGACTACAATGGGGCTAGTTTGTTTGTCAACGTTACCCTCGCTTGCTTCTTATTCGCTTATTAGACTTTCCTGTAAGTCACGAGCGTCATTTCTCTTCTACTATTTGCATCACGCTCCTTGCAAGCTGTCTGCTGCTCAGTGACACTGTGTTTCGTTTCCGCGTCTCCAGGCATGCTCGGCCGGCGGACCCACTTCCAGGAATCACGCGCTCAACTAGCGCTGCGAGTGAGTGACGTGGACTCGCCGAGCCCGACAGCCGCCTCCCCTGGGGAGCAGGGAGAGGACGAACGCCCGGGGGACGGTGAGAAGACCTCAGGCCGGCCGGCGGAGCGGGAGCGGCCGGCGGAGGACCCCTCCGGGCCGCCCGCGTGTCCCCGGCTGCCCACCGATGTGAAACTGAACGACGACACGCGACTGGAGCGAGTGCAGTATGACGAGCCGTCAGCCGAGACGGAGGCGTCGCCACTCCGGCAGGCAGTCATACTGGCCACCTAGTGAGTACAGGAGGAATGGTACTGGTCGTGCTGACATTTGATGCGAGGATGAACACTGGACAGACTGTAATACAATTCTTAACAGGTTTCAGGTATTCAGGCTGGTTTGTAAGTTCTCGCACTAAAATGCTACTTTTCAGGGTGAATTGACGATAAAGCAATTGAGTACCGTATTGACTGTGTATAACAGGCAAAAGATTAAGAAGTACTCCACTGTTGACTCCACTGATGGCTGACTGACCGTCCAAACGCGTCTGGAAGTGACGCATCGATCCTTTGAACCGTAACGCTCTGACACCGTTGCCTGTGTGCCCCCAGTTTCCAGAATCTGCGGGCGCAGGGTCGCAGTGAGATCCGTGACGAGCAGCTGCTGGTGACAATCAGCGCGCTCACCCACCAGCCGTTGGTCTGGGCCGTGCAGCTGTCCGCGCTGCTGCAGGTAAGCAGCCGCTGCTTGTCGTAGGACGATATATTCAAATCGGACGAATTATGTGACAAGACTTCTCCGGCATAATGCTGGGTAGTATGACATAAAATTGCTTTATCCATTTTCAAACGTTTCGACTTTATTCAAAGTCATCTTCAGTGTTAAGATAGACAAGTACACAACCAGTAAAACGCCTTTTGGGGCGACCAACGGAGCGAGCGAGAGGATGGGCCTTGCACGTGCGAAATTGCGAGGGGGCACCTCCAACTAACTTGTGCACTGCACCCTACTAACCGGTCTTTAGCGATGTGCCAAATTTCAGCGCAATCGGCCTAGCCGTTCTTGAGATCTGGAAGCGGCACACTGCACGTGCGCACGTGCAAGCGGGGTCCAAACTGACTTTTGCACGGCACCCTACTAACTGGTCCCCAACCGTGTACCAAATTTGAGCGCAATCGGCCCAGCCGTTCTCGAGATCTGGGAGCGCCCCCTGCACGTGCGCACGTGCTGTAGCACCCCAACCTTAACACATGCAGATGAATTATCTGATGGAGACCTAACTGTGTCCCGAGTTTCAATTCAATCGGCCCAACCGTTGTGCCGTTATTGAGGTTGCAATTTTGGGGGTTCTTAAAAAATGTCCAACTTTACCACGCGCCACGTGCGGTGGTTGGGAAGAACGCATGGTGGTCATCACACCACAGAACTTTTACGTCCAAGTGACATTCAGTAAAGAAGACCGCTTGTCAATCGGATGTCCCGTTCCTAAGATATTAGCTTTTGAAGAGCGTCCCCACGGCCGGCCGGCCGCTCATACTCAGGATTTTCCCTTAATTCAGTATGAGACTCCGCTCGCTTCGCTCGCTCCGTAATTACATGCTGACATAAATATACAAGCAGTCGATGCAGGGTATCAGTCGATGCACATCACACACTTCACAAAAACAAGACATAAAACATCATTCGTGTTGGTTCGGTCGTCTTCCTACAGAACTGATACCCTGATACCCTGCATCGACTGCTTGTATATTTATGTCAGCATGTAATTGTGTACTTGTCTATCTTAACACTGAAGATGACTTTGAATAAAGTCGAAACGTTTGAAAATGGATAAAGCAATTTTATGTCATATTATCAGATTTCTATTAATGCTGGGTAGTTATCGCGCTTCAAATAAAAAAGTATAGGGCCGCAGTGGAATCAGCCGTCAGAGATAGAAGCCGAAGCGGGAAGCACTTGCATCAAGTTACGCAGTCTATGCTTTTGCTATCTAATTGTGATGGACCGGACATGGCACAGCTAGGTCCGGCATAATATCCCATTCCGTCAAGGAATGAATGCCATCTTTGCAGCTGTTCTCCATCCATGTGTTTACTGTACCATGATCAACTTTACCATCCTCTGCCCGGTGTTTTCGACCCTCAGCGGAGCCGACTGGAGTCGGAGCACCGGCGGACGGTGGAGCGCGCCATGCTCCAGGTGGAGGCCCTGGGGGAGGATGTCTCCAGGCCGGAGCCGGCGGTGACGCACAGACTGCAGCTCTTCTTCAGCACACGGGTCCCCACGCACTGGGAGCTGATGGTCAGAGCCATATGATGTGTTTAGAGGAATTGAAATGTGTGGTTTCGGTGAAAGGGAAACTTCTCCCACTATGAACATTTCCATTGTCAAATAATGTTTATTAAGAAAGAGAGAATCGTCAAATTTGTTGTATCAGACATATTATAAGTCGTCATTGTATCAGCCATTGTAAATTTTGGTAGAACCATGCATTGCACAAAGTGTAAGCCAGTGTCAGTTCTCTTTACATAGTCATGGTTCAGTAGATTCGGTGCCTTTTTTCCGCGCGAGAATAACTTTATCCTTTAGCCACACCGGAATGATGCTTTCCGAGTAAGTGATCACTTTGATATGGCTTCCGCAAGTCCAGAACAACTAACCAACTAACCCCTCCGTGATGCCCTCCAACCACAGCGTGAGCTGGCCGAGCGCTACATGGCGATGGGCGTCACCAAGTCGGCGCTGGACGTGTTCGAGCGGTACCAGCTGTGGGAGGAGGCCATCCGCTGCTACCACCTGCTCCAGCAGCGACAGCGGGTGAGTGCGGGGCTAGTGGAGCGGCTATTTGAGGATGCCTGAGACTCTGGGTGGGAGCTGGGTGAGAAGATGTAACTGAAAACACTACTCATTGCCTGGTACACGGCTTTACGTGGTTGTCAGTTGGTAGAAGCTCAATGAGATATTGTTTTTGTATATGTAGGCAGCAGCTACCAAAATCGAGTTTGTTTTGACTTGATATAGCTTAGTGACGGGATGGATCAGAGGTGCCAGGACATTGAATGACGAATCATCAGGGCTGCAGGCTTAAGAAGGAGTTCGGTGAGGGGCCTCATATGTTTTTTTTTTCTCTTGTATCGTACTTGTACCTCGAACCATAAAGAATCATCAAGCATCTCGACCATCTCAAAATAGTAGGTACTTTTTTAAAGTGTGGTTTTGACAAATGCATAAACGCACTTCTGGGCGATGCTCTGGTTGAGTGCATCACCAGGACGGGGTCACATCGCGTGGATTTGAGTGTCACCATAAACCATTCCGTCCTCCCGCCACCAGGCAGCAGAAGTGGTCCGGGAGCAGATAGCCGCGCACGGTGAGACGCCCAAGCTGCTCTGTCTACTGGGTGACGCCACAGACGACGTCTCGTGCTATCAGAGGGCCTGGCAGATGTCCGGGGAGAAGTACGTGCGCGCCGTCCGCTCCGAGGGATTCTACTACTACCACAGAAAACAGGTGGGAAGCTGTGATGTGATGGCTGGCAAAAGCTGGTGGTGCTTAGCGGGCGCTGACTGCTACACAGCATATACTGGTACTGTCTGGTGTGAGGCTAGTGTCGAAATAGTGCGATGGATAGCTATTGATACTGCATTGTTGCAGGCGGGCTGTTTACTCGGTGCGTTCCTCGCAGTCTACGTTTAAATTTTGGTACACACTTGTTACTTCTTTTCGCGCCGATGCCCCCAGGCTGCTGTTGTTGTCCACGCGCCCTAAAAACCGAATATTCACATTCCATAATCGCTGGTCACTATGTGGAATGTGACCAATGGCGTTATACGAATGTTCACCAACCCTGACTATCATCCCCCCACTGTCTCGTATTCGACAGTACGAGAAGTGCCTGCCGCTGCTCAGTAAGGCGGTGGAGCGCAACTCGCTACAGTTTGACGTGTGGACCCGGCTGGCGTTCGCCGCACTGCAGACGGAGGACTGGAAGACGTGTGCCAACGCCTACCGGCGCTGCTGCTACCTGGAGCCGGACGTGAGTGGGAGTTGCGAACCGAGCCACTTAGCGGCTGACTGGCTGATAGTTGACCCCGTCCTAATGTTGTGACTTGGCTAGAAGGTGTGATGAGGTGACTGTATCGATTCAATTGACAGACATAGTTACAATGACGATGGAAAAGATCATTACTTTCGACCAACCAATATAGCTCGTGTAAACGGTGGAAGGTGAATGCCAGAAATGTTCAAGTTTGTTATTGGTTGAACTTCAGAAAAGTGCAGTTATAGATGTAGGCATTAAAAAGAAAAATGGAAGAAGTTGCGTTGTCAAATTTTCGTTTGGGTCTCTAATTAGGTTTGATTCCATCTCATTTAGAACTACGAGGCGTGGAACAACATCGCGCACGCCTACATCCGCCTGGGCCAGAAGGAGCGCGCGTGGAAGACGCTTCAGGAGGCGCTCCGCTTCAGCTTCGACAACTGGAAGATCTGGGACAACTTCCTGGTCGTGAGCCTCGACATCGGCGAGTTCGAGGAGGTGAGGACGTGCGCCAAGTGTTGAATGCGTCTTTAGAATCATGAACGTTCGGATGCCGATTGTAAAGAGTGGAACATTTGTAGCGTATAGGTACCAAATATAAGCTTTGCTTTTGCGATACACTACTCTTGCTCTTACAGCCGTGATGTTTTTTTATTATTGAATTTTGTATATTTGTATTCATCCAGTAGGTTATCCGGGCTCTAACGTGCCATTTCCGCCAATTAGTTCCTGGTCGTCAATATTCATTAATTGCCATTGTTCTCTCAAAACTGAACGCCTCTTTCCACCTACCTTGGCCTCTCGGTAACCGGACAAAAAGTCAAAAGGAATAAAGTCAAAAGACAAATAGTCAAAAGACAAAAAGTCAAATGCAAAAAGTCAAACGGGATAAAAGTCAAAAAGATAAAAGTCAAAACGGATAAAAGTCAAAAGACAAAAAGTCAAAAGCAAAAAGTCAAAATGTGCAAAAGTCAAAAACGCAAAAAGTCAAATGACAAAAAGTCAAAAATGCAAAAAGTCAAAAATGAAAATTCAAAAAGGATAAAAGTCAAAACGGAAAAAAGTCAAAAGCAAAAAGTCAAAACGTGTAAAAGTCAAAAGACAAAAAGTCAAAAATGCAAAAAGTCAAAAGGATAAAAGTCAAAACGGAAAAAAGTCAAAAGACAAAAAGTCAAAACGAGTAAAAGTCAAAAGACAAAAAAGTCAAAACGGAATAAAGTCAAAAGACAAAAAGTCCAAAGCAAAAAGTCAAAACGGGTAAAAGTCAAAAGATAAAAAGTCAAAAAAATGAAAAAAGTATAAAATAGAAAAGTCGAAGTCAAAGTCTGAAATAAAAAGTCAAAATGATAAAAGTCGAAGCATCGATCTTTTCATCTTTTGAAAAAAATATACAGCGCAACGTACCCTACCCACTGAAGTTGTAAGGAACATGTGAGTACGCGAGGGATTCTGACAGGTACCGGGGTCCGCAGCAGCGGGGCAGGGACGCTGGCTGCGGTGGTGGGGCCCACGCTCACATAATACGCGTTGAGCGCTTCCGGCGTGCACGCTGGCGCAGCAGCAGTGGCACTCTTCCCCGCCCCGATCACCGGCCGCAGCACTGTCCACATCCTCGCCGGTCCTGCCTCACGCAGCTGGTCAGCATAGTATGCCGCGTGGTCACGTCTGATGGCCGCTCGACACTGCCGGTTCACCACCGTATACTCGGCGCGCGGGCCGAGCAGTGCGCGCCTCCGCGCCAGCAGCGCTCGCGTGGCGTCCGTGGTGCGCGGAGCACCGGGCGGCGGCAGCCCCTCCCCCATGGGAGAGGGTGAAAAAGCAGTGCCTCCTCTAAGCAGTTTTGACTGGGGGGCCCGATCACGGGCAATGACAAAGGTAACCCCTACCAAAAACGTCTAAGACTAAAAAATGACTAAGGTACACTCGGGGGCAGATTGATGTTCCACCACTCCCTACCCATCGGGCTCCTATGGCTCAGCACTGGCTGCTGTCAGTGTTGCCTGCCGTCAGCACTGCTCAGCACTGACTGCCAGTGCCAGTGCTGCCAGTGCTGCCACTGGCAGCAGCCAGTGCTGAGCCATGGGAGCCCGATAGGTAGGGAGTGGTGGAACATCAATCTGCCCCCGAGTGTACCCCTCAGTGACCAGTTTGGAGGATGACTGCGGGGCTGCAGCTCCCGCAGTTAACATGTTAGAGGAGGCATGGGTGTCGTTTTGTATAGGCATGGTAGGGCCCGAGCCTTACCAATAATTTTGGAAATTTAACATTATGCCTATGGCGTTGCGTGGAAAGAATCGCTTTGAATTGGCAAAAATTTACATTAGAGCCCTACCAATAATTTTCGGAAAGTGTCGCCCCTGAGAGGTTTTTGACTTTAAGGAATTTTGACATTGATCATTTGACTTTTTGTTACGGAGCGAGCGAAGCGAGCGGAGTCTCATAGTGGCGCGTGGTAAAGTTGGACATTTTTTTAAGAACCCCCAAAACTGCAACCTCAATAACGGCACAACGGCTGGGCCGATTGAATTGAAACTCGGTACACAGTTAGGTCTCCATCAGATAATTCATCTGCATGTGTTAAGGTTGGGGTGCTGCTGCACGTGCGCACGTGCAGGGGTCGTTTCCAGATCTCGAGAACGGCTGGACCGATGGCGCTCAAATTTGGTACACGGTTAGGGACCAGTTAGTAGGGTGCCGTGCACAAGTCAGTTGGGACCCATTTTGCACGTGCGCACGTGCAGGGTGCCGCTTCCAGATCTCGAGAACGGCTGGGCCGATTGTGCTCAAATTTGGCACATCACTAGAGACCGGTTAGTAGGGTGCCGTGCACTAGTCAGTTGGAGGTACCCCCTCGAAATTTCGCACGTGCAAGGCCCACCCTCTCGCTCGCTCCGTTAGTCGCCCCATAAGGCGTTATACTGGTCTTATGGTTTTTTGGATATATGACTTTTTACTTTTGACTTTTTCTTATTTGACTTTTTCCATTTGATTTTTATCATTTTTACGTTTTGCCGTTTCTTCACTTTTTGTCTTTTGACTTTCGCATTTTTTGACTTTTTGCCATTTGACTTTTTGCTTTTGACTTTTTGCGTTTTTGACTTTTCGCCATTTTGACTTTTTGCCATTTGACTTTTTTGCTTTTGACTTTTTGCGTTTTTGACTTTTCGCCATTTTGACTTTTTGCCATTTGACTTTTTGCTTTTGACTTTTTGCGTTTTTGACCTTTTGCCATTTTGACTTTTCGCCATTTGACTTTTTGCTTTTGACTTTTTGCGTTTTTGACTTTTCGCCATTTTGACTTTTTGCCTTTTGACTTTTTGCATTTTTGACTTTTGGACGTTTTGACTTTTTGCCATTTGACTTTTTGTCTTTTGACTTTGATCCGTTTTGACTTTTATCCATTTGACTTTTTTCCATTTGACTTTTATCCATTTTGACTTTTTGCATTTGACTTTTTGTCTTTTGACATTTTGTCTTTTGACTTTTTGTCCTGGAATCTGGCCTCTCTTCCCTCTCCAATCGCCCTCACACTCCCCCTCACTCCACCTCTCGGCCAGGCGATCAGCGCGTACGGCCGCCTGGCGGAGATCCAGGAGCGGCACGTGGACTGCGAGGTGCTCCGGCTGCTGGTGCGGGCTGTACTGAGCGACACGGCTGACCGAAACGGCGTGGGAGCCGGCCGGCTGCTCACCAAACTGACCAAACTGTTTGGACGGCTCACCGCCAAGGTAACAGCAGGGAAGGACTTAGAGCGAATGGAGGTGGTCCGCTATAATTACGTTAACGGTATACATAAATGCCCAAAGGATGTAGGGATGGAAACGCTCAAATCTTGGTTAACTGGTTACTCAGCTAAAGCATGCCACTGACCACCCATTTCAGCTAAGATCTCACCAATCTATTTCCTCCCTATCGTCATATTGACAGATCTTTGTGTGCATTGCTCACCAATAAAATGTTTCAGCTGCGCCATATGTTGTAGTAATCTTATGCGCCATTACCGTCAGGTGACCAACAACTCGGAAGTGTGGTCGCTCTACGGTGACCTGACCGGCGCCGCGGCAGCCTCCGAGGAGGCCCGCTTCCGGAGGATCCAGCACTATCAGAAGGCACACAGCTGCCTGGCGCAAAAGCCGGGCGCAGAAAAACAGCTCAACCTGGCTAAGCAGATGCTGGAAATCGCAGTCAAGGTTGGTGACAGCATTGATAGTTGGTTCAGTTGCAATATTCTCTTATGTGGAAGTCAGATATTTATTATTTCTTCTCGAGTAAGCGATATCAAGATATCCAGTGGTATAAAGTGGTATATGATAAGAAATGACAAAGGAGGCATATTTTGGATAAACTCTGTATTTCATTAATAACGTCGGTATCTTATTCAAGATGGCTTTTGTCATGTTTCACGTTGGTCATTTCGCCACACGGTAGCACCTGGCTTTCATTTCCTCTGCGTATCGCTGACCTCTGTGTTCCGTTGGACAGCTGTCGGAGGCCGCTCTGACCTGGGTGGAGGCCGCCGCGCCGGGATCCGACGTGGCCCGCAGTCTGGCCTCGGTGAAACTGTCAATCCGTGGGACAATCACCAAGGTTAAGGTACGGCGACGTCGGGTCGGCTTAGTGAAGGATACCTACTTATTCTGTTAGAAAACTTTTAAGTGCTTGGGCTCATGAGCATTATATTTGGTGTGCTGTAATAACTATCATAATACTACCTACGCAGAATATAGCCAAATATTATACAATCCGGTTGCATACAGCTCTCCATAACTCTGGTTCAATAACGCCTGTGCCACGTCCCATGAGTTCAGTAACAGCTACATCTGTCCTTAGTCCAGTAGTAACCGTATGTTTCTGTCTGTCCCTGGTTCATCAATCATCATGAAACGACCCCCCCCCCCCCCTAATGGTTTTGAGTGACGGTGCGTCTCCCCTCCTGCAGACGGCGCAGACTGACAGCTCCGGTCAGGTGCGGGAGGAGCTGCGGCAGCTGTACGCAGACGCCGAGACGGGTCTCCAGCGCGTGCTGGATGCCATCCAGGCCCGCCAGGCCAGCTAGCACCGCGTGAACCATAGGCGTGGGCTGTGGTGTCGGCGTGGGCGTGCCAGTTCAGGAGGCGTGTGGTGTTGTTGGATTGTACGCCGTTGTTTGTTGTATGAAACAAGTGGCATCGTATTTTGATGTTTTTTTATGAACCGTATGTTTTCTCATCATTGTATTACATAAATGGTGATCTATATTTTGTGCTAAATGTGATATATGGGTTGTTATTGGAGGGAAGTGCCGATCACAGAAGCCAGAAATTGAGCTCGCACTATACTGAATTTAAAATTGTTATCAAAGTTATGCTGCCCTAGGTTAACCCGCGACCGCCTGGGGGGGGGGGTCGGATCCGACCCCCCCTCCGTTTTTCTTGAATAACTCATGAACCACTTTCGCTATCTACCTGAAACTTGGCATACCTTCTCCCCCATCAATTTAACGTCTCCTGTGCAATTTTTAAGAAAAAAAAATTCCAAAATTTTTTGAAATATATCGATTTTAGTGATGTAACTACATGGCGTTTTTAGTCAAAAAGTGGTAAATGTTTAAAAAATCGCCAAAAATCAGGGTTAAAAGCAAATTGCAAATTAAGGACATGAAAAGACGCAGCTCAACGAGTTCTTTAAAATGGCTATCTCGGATTTTCCATAAAATGCGTTTTTCACCCCTAAAAATTCAAAAAACTACATTTTTTGGAAAACAGCTAATAAAATCCAAAATTTTGGGAATTTCCAAAAAAAAAACTGAATATATGTTGTAGAGCTCTATTAGAACATTAGATGCCCCAAATTTCAACTTTCTATCTTGATTTTTGACCCCCAAATTGTAAAAAAATAGCTCCAACATGCATAGGGCATGGTGACGTCATAAGCATTTTCGTGAATTAGAGGCACTTCTGAACATCGCATGTGAAAACATATGGCACCACTAGATTTCTGGGACAAAGCTCGTCTAGAAAAGTGTATTTTTATGTCAAAAATAAAAAGTTGAAAAATTGACTTTTTCTTAGCCCTCCTTTAGTTATGTAGGGTATAAACGATTTTTTATGCTTTCAATGCACACTTATCACCAGCACAGTGACTTGGGGTCACATATAACCATTACCATCGGATTCGGCGTGAAAAATAAGCCATAAAACATGTGTCGCACGCCCATGTAGCAGAAATTGAAAACCGTGACCTTTCGTGACCTGACCTGACCTTGACCCGTATTTAGTATGACCCCTATACGCACATGGTACCTTCACTAGGCCTTTGAGGTCATTTTTGGTGAGTTTCGAGCAGCAGCTATCGATTCCGCTGTCCGTAAGCCTAATCATGCAAAACCCCTGAATTTGACCTTTGACCTGACCTTGACCCGAAAGTTGACCTCAATCTTAAAATCTTAAGAGTGCTTTGGGAAGGTCTCGTAGAGACCTTTCGAACGCCGCCTCGCGGAGCTCGATACGACCATTGGTTCTCGAGATAACAGGGGGGGGGGGGTCGGATCCGACCCCCCCCCCCAGGCTGTCGTGGGTACGGAAATAGCCCAGGCGGTGCCGGGTTAATCTCAGACGAGTATAATCTCAGTCTAGTACGAATATCAGGTGTCAGATGTCCCACATAAAGACGCTAACTCAGGGGAGCATATATTTCATTTCATATCAGAATCAGTCGAACCGTATGTGTACCCTGGGCTTCTGTTCCGGCGCAGCGGCCGGCAGTGACCGCCGCTTCTTCTCTGCCGATTGCACCACCACAGCCTCGTCAACATCGTGCGTCATGCCTCTCCAGCTCTGCCCGCCTCCCTTCGCCACGCCCGAGCGCTGCCCCGCCTTGCTGGTTTTCTGCACCGCGTCGCCGCTCTCCGCCTGAGGACACTCGCGAGACATGTGGCCCTGCTTCTTGCAGAGGAAGCACGTCGCGAACGGCAGTCCGACGATCTCCCCCTTCTTGGGACAGTCGGAGAGGCGGTGTCCGGCCTCGCCGCAACGGAAGCAGGCCGTGCCCGCGGCCGGCTCCACTGCCGTCGCGGTGCAGTCGGTCAGTAGGTGGCCGCGTCCCCCGCACTTGGTGCACAGCAGACGCCCAGAAGACTTCACCTTGCGCTCCTCGGCACGGCGGGCCTTCCGTAGCAAGCGGCGCGCCTCGTTTTCAGTTTTGCCGCTGTCGATGAGCTTCTGCCGGAGCGCCTCAAGGCGAGGCACCGCTTCTGCAGAGACCCAGAAGCCGTCGAAGCGTGCCAGCTGTTCGCCTTCCTGCAGAGTGAGACCGCACGCCCGGCCAGGCACGCGCCGGCGCACGCGCGGCGTCTGCTGCGCCTCCAGGAACAGTCTCCGCTCGCGCGCGGCCCGCTCAGTCTTGGTCTGGGCGGCGATCATGCTGAGTTTCAGCTTGCGATGCTCCTTCCGCACTAGCTGCTTCATGCGTCGGTTGACCTTTTCAGCTGGCAGGCCGCGCTTCTCCAGCTCCTCGCGCGCCGACATCAGCCGACCGGTCTCCTCCCGCGGCACCCACATCCCCTCGAACTGAGCCATCGACTCATCGTCCTCCGAGTATTTCAGCTCCACGTTCTCCAGTCGCACGGGCAGCTTGGGTCGACGACGCTTGGGCTCCGGTTTGGACGGCGTGGCCGGGGAGCTTTGACGCATCAGCTTTTCTTTCTTTGCCAGTTGGCGTGCCTTCATTTTCTCAATAGCATCCTTGTTGTATGTCTTCTTTTTCCTCTTTTTCATGGCCCTTTTCTTCTCATCTAGTGAAGGGGCACTTTTCACCAAGTCGTTTGATCCATCTGTTGGCTTATGCTTAGATGTCTTCTGTTTCTTACTGGGGTCTTTAGAAGCTTTTCCAGACATTGCATTGTTTGCCCTCACTTTTTCTTTTTCATGATCTTCACTGCCAACAATCCCTGGATGTTTTGCTACTTTGATTTTCTTGGTGTTTTTAAGCATTATAAATTATAATTCTACCACTGTTTAGGGCTTCTTTGCTTGTCCTTGATTTATTCACCTTAATTCTTACAAACAAAGCAATATATTTCAATTTGGTTGCTCTTGTCTACTGAAAAGGAGATAAAATTGGCTTGTATGAATACAATCACAGCTTTTGAACATAAGACACACTTTAAACACACTAAATATTCAGACAGCCATCAGGATGAAACTACGATCACCAGCACCAGCTAAATTGCCGCATCACCTCAATCGACTTATGACATTCCATAGTAAGACCAGTCCAAGGCTATATAAACCGTCCAAGCCAAGGGTGAATATTTGTACCCATCTCAGTCAAAACTTTATAAAAAAAAACAATAATCATCTTGAGCACTCAGGAATTCTAGTCATGATATCATGACAGTCAAGACTTAAAATCAAGAAACTAAGTATGTATGTATTATGTAACTTGTAAGCTGGTGTGGGCCCAGTATCATTATTTAATTCAATGTTGGGGATTGGGACTGCATTTTGGTACATAATTAAAAAACACCAACTCTGAACCCTTTTAGGCAGCTGAATGTCTGGAAAAAATAGATCAATTTGACACTTTCCACTGCAAGGCACCAATTTTTCCAAGACTCCTAAGTCCCATGACAATGAAAATTATCTTATTGTCAGAGCATATCAATATCATATGATATTGATATGATATTGTCATGTGAGGAATCAGGACCATAAATACCGGCCGAGCTAACAAAATTTTAACGGGTAATCTCCATTCACTTCTCTGTTCGCCGATACCAATAGACCTCTCGATGTCCGGCCTCAAAATACCCTTCCAACTTCGAACCCTGAATAATCCCAATGCGTACCTACTACCTACATGTCAACGGAGACCGGAGACCAAGAAAGACGTCTGGTCAAGGCCTTGATATAACCCTGGTGACGTGACGTTATAGCAACTAGCAACAGCAAATCAAATAACAGCTAAATACATCGAAATTGAAATAGGACGCAAATCTCCCCCGCCCTTGCCCACACGTGTTGTGGCTCTCTCTATCGTCTGGAGGTTTCGAAAGATGCTCTCCAGAGATGGCGCTAGTAAATTTGGCTGACATGACGTCATGCTAAAAAGTGATGGGTTTTGTGAGAGCAAATGTAATAATAGTTGAAAATTTTGTACTTTTGCTTAATTAAGAAAAAATAAATATACAATTGTTCAAAACAGCGTTTTCCTCATTCATCCTTCATTGTTTTTAGAGGAATATAGACAGTTTAAATATTTTTTCTTGACCGCAATTCGCACACGCACTAAATTAAAAGCTGGAGTTTTGTGCGTTCGTAAATCGTGATTTGAGAAAATAAGTTGACAATAATCTTTTGCACTTTTGCTTTACAATCATTTTTCAATGCAGATAAATGCATAAATTATTCGAAAATAGGCATATCTTTGAAATATTATGATTTTCCACAAGCAAATTTTCCCAAAAACTTGAACTACTTACAACTGACGAACGCATCCAATAATCTGGATGTCTTAGGATGAGTTCGTCATTTTTTCCCAAGGAAATACGATACAGTTCAAGCTATTTTTCCGATTTATTAGGGTACTTTTGCCAATGAATTAATAAATAAATGACAACAATTAATCTCATTATCAACCATACTCGGAAGAATTTTCTTCGCATAAGCGCGAACACATCCGCGCTTTCATGAAAAGTCACGCCTGTAGATGTCAGGACTGCTGCTTTATGTTTCGCAAGGTGGCGCAGCGCGCAGGGTACCGACTACCGAGGCTGAGGTCTCCAGACTCTCCACCACGATTTAACTTGGAAATGGCCGATGGGGAAGGTCTAACCCAAAAACGGACGCCCTTTTACACAGCTGCATAAAGAGAATGAATTATTGGCATAGCTGACCACACGTCCCCTCCCCCTCTCCGCCCCAGCTCAATAGGAAATATCGCCTATTTTCCTTAGTCAGTTATATTCTGACTAATTTCTCACTCTTCCCAGTAAACCTTAACATGCATGATGCAGATGTCCACTGCGTAAGTCGTGTGCTTCCGTAAATGTGCCAACTATATAGTGTTGCCTACACTCTACAGTACAGCCTACTGCTTCCCCATTGTCGTTATAATTGGTGATTCTCAGGTCAAAAGTTACACAGTGGTCTCAGAGAACAATCGTTTCAACAAATTAACGATTCAAACCGTTGCATTCTACTTATATTCCGGTCAGTTCTGCTACTAAACGATTCCGGCAAAACACTCTTTAGGTTATGTATTAGCGAACCACCACACAAAATTCGCCCAATCAATGGTCAGTTATTACTGCTGGGCTGAACCGTCATACGCTATATAGCCTATTGCAGTCAATATTTTCAGAACGATACTGACTGACGAAACACAACGTATTCGCGGATTCGCACATTGACATACGTTGGCACCCAGGTGGCCTGTCAGCAGCCGCACAAATCCGCACAGCGCAGCCGGGATTTGACATTGAGATGGTACACCGTAAAGCATGCCTTTCCACACAGGCACAAGCACAGGGACACAAATTCTCAAAATCCAAACTTATTCCAATACTGGTCAATTACGAATAGGCATAAAGTTTTGAGGTTTTCTCATGTTCATTCTTCTTTCAACACACGCGGCAGACTGCAGCAGCTGCAGAACATCTCACAGAGCTGCGCTGGATGCAGTCATGAGCTGGGACACGGTTTGTGACCAATGACCGATCGGGGGTGCCAGCCTCATCCCGGCACGCGATGCACTGGCCGCCGCGCAGTCGATGTCGGGGCACCGCCGGCATTCGCCGACAGGGTTCCATCCGATTCGGTGTATTGGTGGCAGCCCGAACAGTGACCCACGCGAAGCTGGCGGACGTCGATGGCCGATGAGCGATGCCCTTCCGCGACCGGCGGTGGCAGTCGGTCCCACATCAAGAACAGATACCAGTCATGCGGTCAGTCGGCGACGGCGCTGTCGCGAGCCGATCTGATGGTCGCGCGGTGGGCGTTGCCGACGTCCACCGGGACCGTCGACTGGGGGAGCGCGGCCGCCTCTTGGCCGCCGCCTCTGGTCGGCGCGCTCATTGCGCTGTGGGACGGCATCCACTGCAAGTCGTTCACTGTGAAGCGGTCGTTTGACCGGACCTGGCAGGCGGGGAAAGGGGGCCTCAGATGAAGTAAAACCATCCCTCAGGCCAGCTTGAACTGGCTCTCCACCTCACCATGTTAGATAAGCAGACACCCTCGTGATCATCGCAGCGATGATTGCCAATTGGTGTGTCATTATGGGAGAGGATGCCAGCCTCCTTTGCAAGATAGTCTGCCTTTAAATTAGTGCAGCCCGACCCATTGCCTGTGGCGCAGACTGGGCTTGATAATGCAGTGCAGGACACACCAAACGTAAGCTGCCATCTGTACCCCCTGTGCAGTAGGGCTGACTCAAGAGCCCAGAGTTGCCCTCCCCCCACCATTCTGTGCACGTGATAACTGGATGGGACATGCCATGGTCAGCATCTGTTCAAAAGCTGCCCTAAGCATGTAAAGCTCCACTGGCATGCTCAAGCATGGTCACAGTCAGTTCTCACTTCTCAGTTGAACCTCCAATGGAAACCCATCACAAAGTAGAGATCAGGGCGCCTCTCACACTGCAGCACACTCAACGACTGAGGCACCATCTCATCACTTGCAGGTGGTTCTTGCCAGGAGCAATGCCAGCCACGCACATCAGGTGATAACAGCAGTGTACAACTGCAATCTACAAGCATCCATGTTCTTTCTGGTTTTCTCCTGTTGAGATCCACTGCCATGCATGAACTTGATGGGCTTTTGTTGCGCTCCTCCCATGTGCAGACAGGTTTCTGCTGAAACAAAGCAGAGCAAATGTGATTAATAATGGCCCTGTTTCACCATCCAGACACTGTGTGCACTGGTAGCTACGGCATACCATAGCATCACTCAAATGACGTTGCATGTGATCTCTTAGTTTATGATCAATCGCATATGGAACAGAGTGAGAGGTTCTGAAAAACCGTACCAAGAACAGAGGTTTGAGTTCAAATACTGCTAGCATGCTGCTGGTGCTGGTACCGCAGCGTGCTAGCGTTCTGGGATGCTGTCATAGCTTAGCATCACAGTGAAGTTTGTTGACACTGCCATGGAAACCCAATGCTCTGACACACGCAGCGCACTGCAGTGCACTGCAGTGCTGAGCACTGCAGTGCGTGCTCTGCTGTGAAACACCACCCATGAACGTTGGTTGCATGACCAGGATGGAGCAGTGTGGCAGACAGTGATTTTAATTTTAATTGCACTTCCTAGAGATTAAAATGTTGTTGGTGAAATTGCTATTCATTATTCCTATTACCATTGTCTAAATTTCACATTTCAAGACAGCATCAGCATTGACATGTTATATAAAATAAGGTTTAGACTTCAGGTGGTCCCGGGTTCAGCTATTAAGTAAAACAAGGGCAAAAAATTGTCAAAAAAATATTTTAAAAAAATACCTGCTTTCATCAACACTTCATCTAATCTAACCTCATCCTCAAAGCAAACACCGTTTGAATAACAATGTAATATTTTGCAACCGCTGCACCATTACTGTCACGTACGCTATCCCTAGATTGGTTGCTGGTAAGTAGTGGTTGTCGTCATCAACTCGTCATGCAGCAGCTGATTGGGATGGGCGGGGCCTATTTTTATCCAGGCGATAGAGAGAGCCCGTGTTGTTTGCTTGTAGTTTTTTTTTTGCAGTGCGCAATTGTAGCGAGCAATTTGTAACTTTCTTTTGCAGACAGGAGATAGCAAATTATAGGGGCTAGAGAAAAAAGGTCTTATTACGAAATTTACGTTCTAGAATCAATATTCAAACATGATCTTGTTATGCCATAGAAATAACTAAAGTATATTTGGATTGTAATATTTATTTTATTGCCAGTTATTACACCATACGGTTCATTTCCCATTGCTTCTTTTTATTAACATAACTACGAAAGATAGCTACGAAATCCCGCAAATTACGCGTAAGTGCAGCGTAAATGTCTCTAGAAATTCACTGGCAATTATGACGCACTTTTGCGCAGTTGATTGCCGTCTGCGCGTCTGCGCCACGTGCTCGTTGTTTGTGGTGTTAGGTGTGTTTTTTGGACAGGCAGCAATATATCCAAGGCGCTATATCAATATAATATATCTATTTAGTATTTATTCGGGCATATTTTGAGTCTGACTCTTCGAGGTAAGTTTGTTGGATGGGTCGTTACTGTATTGACTATTGATAGGCTTTTCTTGGCGGGCGTTGCGTTGGGGGTGTCCCGTGTCGAGGCAAGTTCTGAGTGAGAAATCGGAGAGTGTCGAGTGGAGGTTGACACCCTGACTCGGCAGGGCTTGTGAATCAAATACAATAAATGAGTTATGCATCTTATTAAATGATAATGCTATTAACAAAAATGTCACCCCTGCAGAATGGCTGATACATCGGAAGATAAAATAGAGGTGACCGAGAATGAAGAATGGAAAACAGCAGCCAAAGGTAAAAAGAGGAAGCGGGCCAATACAGAGAAAATGGACGATGAGGCTGCTGAGCAAGGATCAGCCATGGATGTATCTCAACGTCCCTACTTTCCACCAGTAAAGAAGGAGAAGCTGCAGAACGGCACAGAAGTTCGCAAAATACCAGTACCTGCACACAGGTAAGTCTGCATGACATCATTTGTCATTTTTCGGTATTGAGAGTAGCAGCAGATTGGTGAGCTGAGTGTGTGATGCATCATAATGTTTTTTACCTAGGTATTGAACCTATCAACTCACCTTGTCGGGTTCCATCCACTACCACCAGTCTGCAAGGAAAAGGCTCGATGGCGAATGGATGGAAGGACGGGAGGAACCCTGCTTCATATGGCGCTCCAGTTGCCCATCTCAGAACACATTGTCATGACATACACACACTTAACTGGAGTGTTGTGCCACCATTGAGACTAACATTGACTTCATTGTGCTTTCACAATAGAATAGCAAAGCACAATTAGAGTGTTCATACAACTTACACATACTCAACAAGTCTATCTGGAATAGCTCCTGCTAAGCTAATCTGTGCTTAAATGACTGAAGGTCTGGGCACAGATAACAGTAGTACTGGATTGGAAACAGAATATTGGCAGTTGCAGTAAGAGGCCGAATGTTTTTATGCGACGGCGCCAAAATGGGATTCTCGCGTGCTGTTGGGTGGATAATTTGTGTGTTGTGTATTGCAAGAAATCGTCATTTTTGTGTTTTGTCGTTTACATTTAAAATCGGAGCTACCAATGTTACTTTCATTTGCTTAAAAAATTAAAGCATTTCACTTTTAATTTGATTATTTAGAGGGCACAATGCGTGGTATTTTCTTTTCAAAACAAAGTGTGGTGCAAAGCCTTACATACGTATAGGTACATCAGCAATGGAGGAGGGGAATGAGCGGTAAAAACCTGCCGTTCTGGCTACAACCCAACGAAGTACGAACCAAGAGGAACAAAAGATTAAAACAGGAGAAACTGTCTCACATGCCACCTATTCGCTTTTCTCACCAAAACATCTCTACGGGCTCAGTGGGTTGGCGCCATGGGTCACCGTGACCGGGCTGAGTGAAATCAGGACTATTCCGCTGCATGTGTGAGCTGCATTTCAGAAAGGAAGATTTCGAAGATGATCGTTCATTTCGCACCGGCATGCAGAGACAGCGCCGTCGGCTCAAGAGCGGCGCAGTCCTGTCAGTATTGACCAGCGTGGATTACGCGATGCCCCCTGTGCACGAGCGGCCAGCGAAACTAGCCATGGCATCCGCACGCCACTCACACCAGAAGCAGGTTATGAAAGACCAGACCGATGCGTTCTTCACGAATGACAATGTCAGCTATCAGGTGGCAACTACAACTGGTCGAGTGTCCGACAGTTCCTGGAGAATGAGGCGGTACTCCGAAGTCGAACTAAGGGCCTCAGATGGTGGTCACTGGTCACGTTTCAGCCCCGCCGACGCCTCCGCCCGAATGGCACCATCAGCATCACAGCAGGAGCGACAGCAGGATGGTGCTCTTGTCATCCAGGAGCCAGTGGCCGCGGTGGCGAAATCCACTGAAATGGAGGACCTGGATGACAGCGCCAAGGCCTCCCTGGGACACAGCTCTGGCGCCTTGGCACGCTCGGCCACCAGGCGTAACAAGTACGGTGCCTCCGCCAGCCTGCTGATCTATCTTGGGGCTACGCCGCTGGAGGTACGACTGGAGAAAGACGAGGAAGACATCGACCTCACCGTGAGGATCTGCCATATTTGGAGGCAACTGCCGAAGATGAAAGCTAACAGGAACCAGCTGCTGGTCTGCGATCAACCAAGAAGTGACGAAGATAGTCCTAAACCGGGATGTCGAACTGACCGGAAGTCGTTTGCAATGATAGCCACGACGTCCTTAGGAGCCTCCTTCCAGAGATGTATGCGACGGTTTTCAATCTATTTGCTGGAAAGTGTGGAAACATGGTAACTGATAAATGAGGCAGACACTCAAGACAGTGCCTGTCCATCGAAAGTCAGGAAGCAGACACCCCAGCGGCAATCGGGTTGCACCCCAGGTGCAACCCGATCGAGGAGCGACAAGAGGCCAAAGCTCAGCAGGGTCAAGAAGATGTAAGGCGGGGAAGTAAGGTCGCTGATGAAATTGGGAGGGCAGGCGAAGCGAAGTGACACTTGAATGGGTGTTTTGTGACGTTGGTTTGAATTGTGACGTTTGGATGGTTCGTTGTGACAGGACTGGTGTCGATTAGCATGTAAATAAAGAGATCAAACTCCCATGTACAAGTACTTTTTGTGGATGAGAGTGGGAAATCATTATAATCAAACCAGTGGCATACGTTCCCTCACCACGGTGAGGAAAGTGTAACCAGCAACGTTTAGTAAAATAAGTTGCCAACCTGCCATTATGCAAAAATGCAGCAATAAACACGAGCACGGCTAGATTGCTTATTTATAAGTTTCATTCACATAAACCTTTTTTTTTGCCTGTGTGAGAAGATATCGAAGTCTGGGCACGAAATATTCGGTTCTGTTTTCGGCCTCTTACTGCAGCCACCGGAATCCTGTTTCCAATCCAGTACTACTGTTATCTGTGGTCTGGGGCATTTACAACATCCGCTGGTGGGCTGTTCCAGAGATGCACACAACTGTTTGAAAACGAGCGCTGTCTTATGTCTGTGCTGGCGCGAGCGACGGTGGTTTTAAAGGCGTGGCCTCGAATGCCGGTCTGGGGCTGAGTGAACATGGACTGTGGCATTATGTGACTCTTTCCATGGAAAATCTTCCAGTATTGGATAAGGTCCGCTCTTATCAAGCGTCCCTGAATCGAGTAGTCCTAGTTCACTCAACCTCTCGGCGTAAGTAAGCTCGCGGAGACCTCGTACACGCTTCGTCCATCGCCTCTGAATGCGCTGTAGCTTGCGCATGTCGCCAACATATCCCGTATGCCATAGACACGAGCCTTTTTCAAGAACGGGCCGGATATGGGCTGTGAAGAGAAATATCATTCACATCGTGGATCGGGAGGCAAGACCCTCGCAGGAAGCTGTGGCAAATCCCAGAGGCCATCTGTGATAAGAAATCGACTGTTCGTGAAATTTAAGTGAAGTGTCTACGATCACCCCCAGTCACCGTGTGAAGTGGGTGTGGGTAGACGGCGTCCGTTGAGGGTGTAGTGTGCTCGCGGAGCGTCCCGTCCCCTGGAAAATCGTAGGACGGCACACTTGTCAGTATTGATTCGTAAGCCCCAAGAGAGACGTGTTGTAAAGAGTGGCTATGTCTTATGGTGTCTATGTATCAATATTAGAGTTGTGTGTCGGGGGAGGGGGTTGTGGTGACTGCCAAATTTGGTGTGGAGTTCTCATACACTGGCATGCGGCATATTTGTAATGCAATGTTGAACTGAAGCATAAGCCTGCCCGTACAATATCAATAGACATATATGCGTATACAATAGACGATATAGACTATACAATAGACGCAACATTGTGACATATATGTGTGGTGTACGCAGCACGATTGTAACGCTTCTTTCCAGGATGTCATCTATGTGATGTTACTTCTTCACGAGCGACACACGACAATAATGCAGCTTTGTCAAGTTATGAGTTATCATTGTGCTGACCTGACCTGCCCGCCCCGTTTACCTCAGATACACACCGTTGAAGGAGAACTGGATGAAGATATTCACACCAGTTGTGGAGCAACTGAACCTCCAGATAAGATTCAACCTCAAAATCAGGAACGTGGAAATTCGGGTTAGTGATAAAGTGTAGCTGGATGTGTGTTCCATTTTCCAAGTGTAGTTTATAAAGGCAAAATTAACTATGATAGCATACAAGTTTAGCGACAAATCCTACCTACCACAGGCTGTTTGCTTGTGTTTTGCTCCTACCTATGTTATTTATCAATGTTTTTTCACGAGGCGTCTTTTTGGAGGCTGTGTAACTGGTTAATTTCCTGGAAAATAAATACCAGTGCTGTGAATTTGGTATTTCCCTTTGGGAATCTTTTTGTTTGGCTATGCGTTCAGCAAAAGTGAATACAAGTTTTAGTAGTGTTGCTGTGCTAAAGAACCGGTGCTGATGCCAAAATGCCAGAAGCTTGATATCATGCTTGAGTATTATCTCATCCGACATTAACGATGAAAGTTCTGGCAGGTTGCCTCCAGCCCGGTGACGTTGCAACGACAACAAATATCGTTCGATTACGTTTTTTCATGTAGTAGTATTCAGTTATCGGTCATTTTAACCAATAAGTGTCGCTAGAGGGATATATATTGACCTCATTGTTCCAGACATGTAAGGAGACCACCGACGTATCGAACCTTCAGAAGGCAGCTGACTTTGTGCGCGCCTTCATCCTCGGCTTTGAGGTGGACGACGCCCTGGCGCTTCTCCGTCTCGATGACATCTTCATCGACTCATTCGACATTCAGGACGGTAAGTCAGACATCGATATATTTCCTGTGAGCGACAACATGGGTCATTGTTTTCATCACTTACCTGTTCCCTCTGCCCCACAATTTTAATTCACATGCTAGGTACCTGTGCAATGTGCATCGACTATTCCGTGGTAAGTCGTGAAAGTTTTCGCACTTGTCTCGTGGAAGAAAAGTTGTTCCTGAGGGGCACTGATACATTCCGTGTCCACAGTAAAACAGCTGAAAGGAGATCACCTGTCTCGCGCCATCGGTCGGCTGGCTGGCAAGAACGGCAAGACCAAGTTCACGATCGAGAACCAGACACGGACGCGGATCGTGGTGGCCGATCACCGGGTGCATATTCTGGGCGCCTTCTCCAACACGGCTGCCGCCCGGCGCGCCCTCTGCGAGCTGATCCTCGGTGAGTGGAGAGTGCCCAATGGCTCAGGGTAACGTGCCGTGAATTTGCTTTTTTTTGGAGTGTGGGCTTATTAACCCTGCAGGTTTGTGTGATGTGGTGCCTCAGTTTTATTGAACAAGGGAAGAAAAGAGAATTACTGTCATATAAGCCTTGTGAAATACTGTTGCTGTGCAGCTGCTCGGATTATTCATTCATGTCACTTACTTTCGTTTCTCTCGTAAAATGCTGTAAATATTGTTACCTGAATATTGTTGAATATTGGTAATGCACCTACAGTCTGCTGGATATGTTTTATTTTCTGTTCCAGGGAGCCCGCCTTCCAAGGTATTCGGTCACATCAGAAATGTGGTTGTGACGTAACATCTCAGCTTCTTCTATCGATGGACATTTTTTTTCTTGTTTCGCCCGATACCGAAAGGAATATTCAACACGAAATGTCGGGCAGCCGGACTGCGCGTCGAGCCGTGCTGGTGTGGTGGCACAATAGAGGAGCTCCAGAATGTGGCCTTCGCCTGGACACGTCAGCATGAGGATCTTTTACTGCCGTGTCGGTGTTACTGGGAATGTGAACGTTATGTCGAAAACGCCGACATTATCCGTTGGGACATCGGGCATATGTTCGTGTGTATGTGCTCATGAGATGATTATGAACATGATTCGAACGTTGAATGTAATACATTAACCATCGGGTCATCTCTCGTGACTGTTGCTGGCGATGCTGTGCTCTGTCAAACACCAAGGCCGTATATTAGGCAAACACCAAGGCCGTATATTAGGCAAACACCATGCGACCCATGCAACTGCTCGCTTGCCTTTTCAAGATATTTTTTATTCCATTTATTTTACATACCCTTAGACGATGTCTTTGCCTATTTGTATCCACAAATAAACACACAAACAACCATAGACATACACACAAACAAACTTCGGTTTGTTTTCAACATCTCCGCAAGCGCCTATTCTTGTCAGAGACTTTCTATGATGTCCCGAAAAAGTCCCGAAAACAAAAATTATCTAGGAAGGTATCTTCGCGTGCGAAATTGTGCTGCCATTTGCAAATGCGCATTTTTACCTTCCTTCTTCCTTGAAAGGCAATCTCGACAATTCGGGCGCCAGGTGGATTTTGTTTGGATTTTGTGGTCGATTGCTCCATTTCAATGTATAGATTGAGCTTCTAAGCTATTTTAATCATTTTATTCAGAATGGAGACAATTAACCGGTTTGTTCCACTAGGTCTTGCACTAGGTGTTCAGCATTCAAGCCGGTCAGATTGCTGATACAGCCTTGGGATTGTGGATAGGTAAGCTGGATAGCATAATAATAAATAATGTAACATGAACATAGGTGAATTTGACAAGCTCAATTTGGATTATGGTGCATAAACCACTATAAAAGTAATCTATTTATTTACTTTTTTAGAAACTCACCTGTTAAACTCACCTGTTAGGTTTCCACAACCTCGGCTCGTAAAGGAAGGAGTGGAAACCTATTGCGTGCAGAGACGCGCCAATTCCTTGGGTGGGCAGATGGCTGGACCTCAGGCAAGGAATTGGAATGGTGCGTCTGCATTTGGTAAAACACTGAAAAAAGAAAACTGGTGCGTGTTTTAAGTGCCAGAATCCTAGACAAGATGATCAATTATGTAAGTGAGAAAAGAGGGTACCGAAATGTGATACGTTCTCGGAAGGAAAGGTCAGGATAGGTAGCCTAGGTTAGTCCACCCGGTCCAGCTCGAGAAGGGCGGGCAGCAGCTACCTAGGGGGTAAGGGCGGAATATGATAGGTAGCCCAGGCGCGTATAACCCCGCCCCAACTTGGGAAGGGTGGGGCGCTTACCTGGGGGGGGGATGAAGGATGAGATGTGAATCGTTTGCCTTCTCTTATCCTGTGTGTTCGAACAATCTACTTCCCAGTGCGGCTTTCAGTCCCTTTTTAAACTGCACCAGGGACTCCTCGTTCACCAGCCAATCTGGGAGGGCATTCCAATCGCGCACGACTCTGTGGGTGAAAAACCGTGACCTTGCATCTATGAGACTCTGACACGTTTTTATCTTTCTACTATGCCCGCGCGTTCTGTTGTCGGCCTCCAGATCCCAGAGGATCTCCGGGGATATCTGACTGTGGCCGTGAAAAATCTTCCAGCATTTGATAATATCGGCTCGAAGGAGGCGTCCCTTCACAGAGAATAGGTCAAGTTCCTTCAGGCGATCACCATATTCCATATTGCGGAGCCCAATCACATTGCGAGTCCAGAGCCTTTGAACAGACTCTAATCTTTTGAGATCCTGTACATAGCCACTGTTCCAGATCGGTGACGCGTACTCGAGAATGGGGCGAATGTGAGATTTCAGTATATGAGTCATAAAGTCAGGCGAGCGACACCTGGTCGATTTCAAGAAATTGTGAGCAACTCCTCCAGCCTTCGCTGCTATGCTGGCACAGTGTTCATGGAATTTCATCTCGTTGTCGATGATAACACCCAGGTCACTACATGACGTAACGCAGGGAATTGTGTCACCAGCCAGTGTGTATGCCCCGGGCTCGAAGTCATGGAATCGTCGCCTAAATCGTATGACAGCACACTTCCTGAGGTTCATGCTGAGACCCCAAGACTCTGCCGTAGAGTGGAGCAAGTCTATATCCTTTTGTAGTGCCTCTTCACTAGTGTTGTGTTTATCGTTGTCTAATTTGATAAATACTTTAAGATCGTCAGCAAAGATCTTATAACTGCACGACAAACTGGACGCAACGTGGTTGATGTAAACCAGAAAGAGAATGGGTCCTAAAACCGATCCTTGAGGAACGCCACTCCGAACCTCCGCAGCTGAGCTCGTGGTGCCCTTAACAAGAACCTGCATCGTACGCCCCACCAAGAAATCTGTCAGCCATGTGATAAGTCGCCCTTGGACACCGACTAACCGGAGTTTTTCTAGCAGAATGGTATGGCGCACCACATCAAAAGCCTTTGAAAAGTCGAACAGGACTAGATCAACGGGATGACCCAGATCCAAGGCTACAGTTACCTCATCGTAGGTCAGGAGTAGCTGGTCTTCCGTGGATCGTCCTGGACGAAAGCCGAACTGTTCGTCACTGAGGATCTGATTTGCAATGAAGAATGCGTAGAGCTCTTTGGAAATTATCCTTTCAAGACTTTTGCAAGATACAGACGTGAGCGATACAGTCGTTACGAGAACCCTTCTTAAATATCGGTACGACGAGCGAAGATTTCCACGCCGAGGGCAGCGCTCCCTCCAGAAGAGACTGCCTGTAAATCATGAGAAGTGGTGTGCATAAAGTTGCAGCACATGCCTTAAGAAGTCAGTGTTCCAGTCAGAATAGGAAGAATAATGCTGGTTTTGTTGTCACCTTCAAGATCTGTTGCCGCAGAAACGGAGCCCAGTTTTACCAACAGAAAAATAGTTGCCTGCCGGAATTTTTGCCTTAAGACCGCTTCACATATGAAGGGTAAACGGAAAAGCCCTATCTGCTTACATGCCCATCACGTTTACACTCCGTATGTGAAGCAGTCTTAAGGCAAAAAATTCAGGCAGGTAGCTATTTTTCTGTTAGTAAAACTGGCCTCAGGAATACTAGGCTAGGTAATTGTGTGGATCAAGGTCTAAGGAGCTTGGGAAGCTGTGTGGATAGTGGATATTGGGTATGTATTTTTGTGATTGTTAACCATTTATACAAGATTGCCCGCTTGCTGTCTTTCATTTACTCATTGGTTGATTTTGCTGCAGTTCACCATTAAAAGGAAGAATCTGAAAACAGGGTGCCTGGGGCAATTTGATCAAGGATCTTGAAATTTGCTTAACCTTATCATGTGCCAATTAGCCTGTTAGGCACAAAGAGGGGGAGAGTATCCCAATGATCATGTGACTAATAACAATAATGTCCTCCATCACCCTGTTTTCAGATTCCACCCAACTAAAGGCCACAAATTGCCAGCAAGGAACTTCTTAGTTCCATGGATCATAGATGGGATAACCAGCATCATGTTGATAAGAAATGGATTACAAAAAGCAATTAAATACACTGGTGCTGGTGCAACATTAATAATAAAATTGTTTAGGTACCTTACTTTACCTACCTTTCAATAGACAAGACAAGACAAGACAAGACAAGACAAAACTTCATTCCAGACCATCTACTGGTCCATGAAAACCCTTCACATCGCAAACACACACACACACACAAACACACATGCTAAAAAGACACATACTGCAGCCATACTAGTAACAGGAATTTTAAAGGCCACTTTGGCCTGTAGGGTCCTGCCACTGATCTCATCAAGCTCCTGAACTAAATGGTAGTTAAGGATGGGGTATTTGACTCTGATTTGGTTCCAGTGATCATCCAACCTGGCCTTGAACTGGTTGAGAGAGGATGCTAGGATCACAGGAGGAAGCACTTTCCAGTCATTCACATCTCTTGTTGCAAATGTGTTGTGCCTACCTTGTATAGGTGCTATTTCTGTATTTCTGTATTTGCGCAAATCACCAACAGGCTTGGCCCAATGACAGGTGAAGTCATATAAGTATATCACACCAAACACACTATAAAAATAATGATCTGTTCTGAGTACAGAAGACTATAGAAGTAAAAGTAAAAGTACCTATAATGTAAAAAAAAAGACTATAAAGGCAGAGTGTAAATGACTACGAAGGCATAACAGATAAATAGTACCTACTATAGAACTACATACGATATACATAAACATTAAAACACTGTATAAGATACTGAAAGTACTGAATATCTACCTACCTAAAAATAAAGCATTAGTGATGTATGATGTGCACAAGATAAAAAGCTTAAAACATCACAAGCTAATTTTTACACGACAGGAGGAAGGGTTAACACATACAGCACGCTCTGCCTCTTCAACTGACCAAGTGAATCGAAAAATAAGTCTGCTGTTTCAACAGACCCTAGAAAGTGGTTGACAGGCCTTGGTTGACAGTGCGTGGGATGCGCGAGAACAAGCCGGATGATACAGTGTTCACTCGAGCAAACGGCAGACTAAACAATGCTCTGTTCATGGTTCTGGCTTGTCTGATCGGTACCTGTAACCCAAAACACTGTAATGAAAACGACGAAGAGATGAAACCTTTAAACACTTTGGATAAAAACATGACATCATGCTGTGCTCGCCGAGCACCCAAGTGGAGCACACCGTACGATGCCAGTAGATCACAGTAGGCCAGAGAGGCTCCGACATAGCCCGTACGACGCGCAAGCCACATTAAAAACTTATGTTGCACTCTCTCCACATGAACTAGATGGCATCTGGCTGCACCGCCCCATATGATTGAACAGTATTCAAGAATCGATCGGACGTTTGCATTGTAAGCCGCCAGAGCCGCCTGCTTGTCTATCTTGCACCGGGGGGAGGCTGACTGGAAAGTGCGAATGATAAGTCCTAAAGCCCTATTGGCTTTCGAGACAATTGAACCCACATGTTCAGCAAAGTCCAGCTTTTGGTCAAGAATAACTCCTAAATCCCGAATGGATGTGACGTTTTCTAAGGTAATTCCGTTGATTTTGTAGGAAGAGTTAATAAAGTTTCGTTTCAACGTGATTTTGAAAGATTTACATTTTGAAGCATTAAGTACCAGTTTCCAGTCAGCCGCCCATCGTGCTACTGCATCTAAGTCCCTCTGAAGTGCTAGCACATCAGCTGCTGACCTGATCTC